GAACATTTTAACTGGTTTGAACCTTGTCCTGTCCCATCCTTGGTCATCCTCATCCTCTGATACCCGTGAGCCCAACACTGTACTCACTGTGTCAATCCGTCTCATTGGGGGTCTTCTTTAGCTGACCCTCTACCTTTCCAACCATCACATCCCTTTCCACGGAATAGCCTCTCCTTGCCGCATATTCAAAGTATGAGAGACGAGGCTTTACCACCATTGCCTCCAAGGAGCACTCTGGCTGCACCTTGTTCAAGACATTCCCGTTTGTGCTTTTGGTAGTCCATGGGATATTCGGCACTCTTCTCCAACACCACAACACAAAAGCTTAAAGTATTCTCCTGTCATCTTTATTCATTGCACAGTACTCAGACCCATAGCAAGTAATCGAAAAGATCATGGCCTGGATCAGGCACACCTTAGTCTTCAAACAGACATCACTGATCTTCAGTACTTTGAACTTGCTCAGAGCAATATACTTCGTATTCTCCTGACAGCTGACACCAAGGGTGCTGATTGTGTTTCCAAGTAAGATGAAATCATCAACCATTTCTATCTTTTCTCCAGCTGTCATGATGTTCCCTTTTGATCCAGTGGTAAGGACCTTTGTGTTTGCCACAGGTCAAGGACTGTAGCCTTCAATATGGACTGCCTTGAAACATCAAGGAACAAAGATCCTTAACACCAGGCCAACAGGCAGTATTAAAATAGATGGGGAAGGCTGAGGTTGTTAACAATTTCATCTTTTTTTAAATTTATTATTATTATTCATTTTAATGAAAGTTCACAGAGACTTAGGATTTCCAGTCATTCATTGTTGCACTTTTCTCCTTGCCCCCCCAATTCACTTTTCTCCTTGATAAGTAAAAGATAAACTCTTTCATTGTTAATGCAATCCCTCCCCCAAGTTCACTGCACTGTGAAGGCTTCTTTCTGGACTCCTGTCATGACCATAATACCTAATCATATCCCTTTTAAACAGCTCTTTTCCCTCTTCTCTTGCAATGATGTATACATCATTCCTCCCCTTCTTCTCTGTCTTCCCTCAACCCCAATGTCAGTCCTGTTTTACAATAGTGACCCTATGCAATATTTGTCCTTTTGTGGCTGAGATATTTCACTTAGCATAATGTCCTCTAGGGTCATCCACTTTGCTTAATATTTCATGAGTTCCTTGTTTTTCAGTGCTGCATAGTATTCCATTGTGTAAATTTACCAAAGCTTCTCTATCCATTTGTTTGTTGATGGGCACTTGAGTTGTTTCCAGCTCTTTGCTGTTGCAAACAAAGCACACAATAAACATGGGTATGCATATATCTGCTTGTGTGGCAGTTATGGTTTCTTTAGGGTAAATTCCCAGAAGAGGAATTGCTGGCTCAAATGGTATTTTTATTTGCAAACTTTTGAGAAAGCTCAATACTGCCTTCCATAGTGGCTGCATCATTTTACACTCCCACCAACAGTGAATAAAGGTTCTAGTTTCTCCACAACCTCACGAGCATTTGTTGTTTGATTTTCTGTTAAATTTTGCTGGGGTGAGATATCTCATAGTTGTTTTGAACAATTTCATCTTGCTTGGATACTCTTAGCACCAGCAGTAAGGAAATCAAAAGACAAGTTGCTTGAGTAGCTTTTGGAAAACCTGTTGTCAGGGACCTCTCCAGAGTGCTAAAGAGCATTGGTGTCAGTCTAGAGACTAAGGTGTGCCTGATCCAGGCCATGGTCTTCTCAACTACTTATTATGCATCTGAGAGCTGGACAATGAATAAGGATGACAGAATCAATGCTTTTGAACTATGGTGCTGGAGAAGAGTACTGAACATGCTACGGACAGCCAAGAGAAAAAAGAGGTCTCTTCTGGAGTGTGTGAAACTCTGACATACTGTGGCCATGTAGCCAGGAAGGACCAGTCTTTAGAGAAGGACATCATGCTTGGAAGGGTGGAGGGTCAGCATGGCAGGGGCAGACCCTGGATGAGATGGACTGACACACAACTGTGGCAATGGAGTCAGGTGGGTCAGAGACAGGTGTCAGAAATGGTGAAGTTGGCTCAGGACAGGGCAAGGTTCAGAGGTATTGTTCATAGGGTTGCTGCGAGTTGTGGTTCATTCAATGGCACATTACAATGACCAGGACCTTTGTTTTCTTGATGCTGAGGTGTAATACATGCCATTAAAGTCAGTAGTGTCTACTTCATTTATCCTATATTTGACTTTTTTTTCTTTTTTTTTAATGTCTAAATCAGATAAAAGGCAGTCTGGGAATGAATATTGTTAGTGCTATCTTTTCCATAAGTGGACTGTTACTGTTGCTGGTGGACTTGATCATTAATAGCGATCTCAGGCAAAACGACTGGGCATTGGTAAGTGTCTGTGATAATCTATTGTATATTTTCTTTCTTTGCACTCTCAACAGCAGTTGTATTTTTATATTATTTTCTATCAACTTTCATGGAAAATGTCCCTTCATGTATCAGTTCTCCTCCCAAATGTGTGCTCTCTAGGACTACAAAATAAAATTAGTTTCTTATACAGATAAACCTAAGCAGAAAAAGCTTCTTGGTCCAACCTTTCATTAATGATGTTGATAATAGATAAATGTTTGGTTAGGTCTCTAAGATTTCTAACAATACCCAAAAATTCTTATCCAAGGATTTTAAATTCTAATTCCAAAAGACAACCTCAACAAAAATCCTTGATGCCATCCTTCATTTTCACAAGATGTACTTTGATTTTATGGGAAAGTGGATCACATAAATAAGAATATTTGAGCTTCCTTGTTTTCCTAGTTTAATTCCTTACAAACCTCGGTGGTTACTTCTTCATGTCTTGGCCCAAATTCCTGACTACAGAACAGTGAATCTGCTCTCTGAATACCACATGACCCAGGTTTGGCAGGTAATATTTTGGTTTCCACGTTTTAGTCGTCCATTTTCAACTTACAAATATAATAAAGAATTGTAGCAAATCAAGTTAGCATTACCCAGTTATTAATTCTCAATTGTAGATTCCCTATAAGAATTTTATTCTTTATATAATTTTGATGGTAAAATAGGGAGTGAAAGAAACAGACTTTTCTGTAGAGGTACAGATACTCACTTAGTACTAAAAAGGAACACTATAATAAATTTCATAAAGAAATCCCACATGGCAAGAAACAAAATGAAATCAAATACAAATGACAGATGTAAAGAATAATCATATGTTAGAAGAGAAAAAGACAAATTGAATTAGGGAGAAGAATAATTACATGGGCAAATTTAATCCAACATATGATAGTTGATTTCTCTCAGTTAGAGGTAGGGGAAGGGGAGAAATGTATTAAAAAACACAAAAAAAAATAATCTGGAATGTATATTGCAAATAAAGGAGTGAGCAAAGAACTAACCTAACTTTGTAGGACAAAAGGAAACAACCTATATAAGGGGGAAAGGAATTAAAAATAATTTCGATCTAGATATACCATTGCTAAGATATAAGGTATATTTTAGATTACGTTGTTGTCGTTGCTGTGTACTGTCAAGCCGGAACCAACAGACAGCTGACCGTCCAGCACGTTTTCAGAGGCAGTTAATTGCCTGGGAGGAGAGATTGCCTATTTTTCTCCCACGGGGCAGCTGGTGGATTCAAATCACGTGCCTTTGGGATTGTAGTGCTGCTTCTTACTGCTAGGCCACCAAGCTCCCTATTTTTAAATTACGTATCATATATTTTATATATACATATACTGTTGTTGTTATGTACCATCAAGTGGTAACTGACTCATAGCTGACCCTCCAGCAGGTTTTCAAAAGGCAGTAAAAGCGCAGGAGGAGATTGGCCATCTTTCTCCTGCAGAGCAGCTGGTGCATTGAAACCGTGTGCCTCTGCGTTTTCAGTGCAACTCCTCACCTCTAAGTCACCAAAGCTGTATATATAAAATGCAATATTTTAGGAAGAAGATTGATGCCTTTGAGCTGTGGTGCTGGAGATGAGTACTGAATGTACCATGGACTGCTAGGAGAACAAACAGGTTCATTCTAAAGAGGGTGAGCCCAGGCTGCTCCTTGGAGGCAAGGATTCTGAAGCTTCATGTGACATATTTTGGACATGTTGAAAGGGTTATCGTCCTTGGAGAGGAACGTCGTGCTTGGGAGGGTGGAAGGATAGCACAAGAGTGGAAGATCTTCGATGAAATGGATTGATTAAGTGACTGGGGTAACGCGAGTAGGAGTGGCACAAATAAGATTGGCACAGGATGAAGCAGGGCATAGGGCTATTGTACACAGGATCACTATGAGTTGTGGGTGACTCGATGGCACATAACAGTAACAACAATAGTAAGAAAAGAAAAGAAAAAACCAACTTCCTTGGAGGCTAGAATTTTGAAGTTCTGCCTCACTTACTTTGAGCACGTGGCCAGAAGAGATCGGTCCTTGGAGAAGGACATCATACTCGGAAGGGTGACGGGACAACTCATTGCCATTGAGCCGGTCTGGCTCATCACTGGCCTTCCAGTGAGTTTCTGAGGTTGTAAATCACCCAGAACACATTTCTCACCCTCATGGAGCCACTAGTGGATTTGAACCAGCAGACAGGTGAGACCTTTGGGTTAGCATTACAACTCTCTATGGACTAGGCCACCAGACCCAATGGAAGGTGAGTAGGAATAGAAATTGACTTGATAGCAGTGAGGGGTTTTATTTTTAGTAAAATTAAAATATATGTTTAAAAAATGACTTCAGCTTCAGATTATTCCTATTTTAAAAACACTCTAGTAGAATTTTACAAATTTATTTTTCCATTTTTTAAAAGATTTTTTTGTAATAAATATTCCTTTGAAGTTCAGAAGCTCTTTCCATTTGACTACCATTCTTTGAAATTCAAGTAAATTGAACTTTTGTTTCTAAATAATAAGGTTCCATTCTTAGAGCATGGTTTCCCTTCTTCCCACCCCCACCCCACTTCTAGTCTCTGTTTCTCATTTTATTTCTCTCTCTATCCACTTCCAAAATGGCTTGCCTCTGGAAACTCTATGTATGAACAGTGCTCAGGCTGTTCATTCATAGGGTCGCTATGAGTTGTCTACGACTCGACGGCATTAAACAACAAACAACAAACAACTGTCTCCCTCACTTTCATATTCTCTTTCTTTCTCTCCATCCCTCTTTCTCCATTAATCTGTTCTTCTATTTGCCTATAAAGGAAGTTATAATATAATAGATTTCACATAACAGGCACCACATGCTAATTTTGGCTATTTCTAAGAAGTAGAAATTGAGATTATATGTTTCTATAGTTCTTGGTTTATTTTAAAAATTAACTTTGACATCTTTGTGAAGAGAAGTCATTACAACGGGTGGGGGAGGGGAATCTATTTACTTTTTAGTGTTTCTGAGTGAAATCACTTGCTTGCCAAACAAAAGTCTTATTAAATTTTAAGTAAAATCTAAAATAAAACCACATTCCCTGAAGAAATAATAAATGGTATGGTACAAAGTAATCATAGCATGAACTGGTCTTGTTTATTTTTTAGTGAAGCCTCTGTTAGGCTTTCCTGATTAGACCAAATCTCAGTCTGTGTCTTATTGATTTCAGATTGGTGGAAAAGGAATTTCAGGTATCTTGTTGATCTTTACCCTCTTGGAGTTTTGCATAACTTGTACATTGGCCCATTTCGCCACTCAAGCAATTGCCAACTTTAACACGGTGAGTTACATCTCTCTATTTAAAATAACTTGAAAGTGCATTGGACACAGGCATAAATGGCTCATTGCTAGACCAGGAAGCAAAATGTAGTCATTCAAAACCAGATAGAGGTGTCTTTAAAGTAAGAAGGCGTCTTCAAAGTAAGAAGTAGTCATCTACTTCCAAAAAGCCAAAATCTACGGAATGAAGTTTCAATCTGTACACATGATTCTGCACACATGAAGATGTCAGAATCAACTCAATGGCAACAAAAAAAAGGGAAAATCTCATGATGGACTTGCTGCAGCATTCTTTGTTCTTGGCTGTGATGGAGCAAAGGATGGGGGAGCTGAACAAGATTGCATTCACAATATTGCTTGATTGTATTTATTCTTTACAGCCTGTTATGTTTATCCCAACTGTATATGGAAACCCTGTCATGGTAGCACCTTCCTCAACTCTGCATGGAAATAATGGCCAACCAGCTCATGTTCCTAGATAATAAAAACAAAGGGGGAAGCACCAGTCCAGTGGGAAGAGGTGAAACGACTGTGCAGAAACTTCTTCAAGATCTCATGTCTGCTGTCCAAGATGATTGCCAATCATTAAAGATTACGTTTGACATTTTTCTTGGTCTTCTCAACAATGATCATTGTTATCTCCCTGTCACAATTTTTCCAACTTACCTTATGATACCCTGGCAAAGGTGAAAGACTAACAGGTCAAAACATGACTATGTAACACTCTCTTAAAATTATAAATTTCCCTGTGGCTGTTACCCTTTCTTCAATAAAATGATATTAAGAACCTAATGTTTCAGATTTCGTTAACAATCAGCTATGTGCAGGAAGCCTCTAGTTAAAGCAAACAGGATATGGTGGGTGGGCCTTTGTATTTAAAAGTTGATTGGGTGCTGCCTAAGGATGAGCCTTCAGCTTTGAGAAGTTGGATCCTGGAGGGTAAGTGTTTTTGTGTATGGAGAGAATGTTGTTCTAAGTGGTACAGCACTTGTCTATCAGTTTGCTGTACTGAGATAACTTGAGGTTGCCATGATACTGACATCTGCGCCGCTGCTGTGCAAAATACTATAAGGGTTTCCCATGGGGGACAGGTTTTGGTTGAGTTCCCTGTTTAAGACAGAGTAGGAAGCAGATGGGCCATCTACTTCCTAAATAACAGGCCTTTAAAAACCCAATGAACAGATATGTCTTGGAGAAGGTGCAGCAAAAGTGCTCTCTGGAGGCAAGAATGATGAGTCTTTCTTTGCATCATATAATTTGGACATGTTACTAGGAGTTGCTATTCCTTGGAGAAGGACATGATGCTGGGAAGGGTGGAGGGTCATCAAAGGACAGAAAGACCATCAACTAAGTGGATTGACGTGGTGACTGCTGTAATGGGCTCTTGTGTGTCAGGAAGTGCGAGAATGGTGCAGGATAGAATAGGGTTCAGATCTTTTGTGCATTGGTGTTGTTATAATTCATGCTTGACTTGATGGCACCTAAGAATAATAAGTATTTTTAAGTGTTTATTAAAATTCATTTTGCTTTAATATAAGTTGTGTGGTGGTAGATCCAATAAAATATTGCAAACAAGACTGATGAAATTCTATTGACGATTTTTTTCAGAGGGTCTCAGTCATGGGGTTTTTTAAAACTCATTGATGCCTCCATTTTCTGTCCAGAAAGCAAAAGATTAATTGCCCTTGGTGGAGGCAATGTGTGTGTCAGTGCATATACAGATGTTGTAAAACATGTTTCTTAGATATCAACAAAGTGTTTCTATTTACCAGCTAGTTGTGTGTATGTTGAATTCAACTACAAGATGTTGTTGTTGTTGCTGTGTACCATAGAGTTGGAACCAATGCGTAGGTGACCCTCCAGCGTGTTTTCAGAGGCAGTTAATTGCACAGGAGGAGATTGCCCATCTTTCTCCCACAGAGCAGCTGGTGGCTTCAAATGGCAGAATAACAGGATAAAAATTGTACATTGAGGTGGTTTTATTTTCATTCTGACCTTTTGTTTTTATGTTGAGAAAAGTATCAGCATGCTAAAAAAAGACAGTGAGAAGAATATGAGCAAGAACTAGGACTCTCCGTGCTTCTCCTCCACTCTAAAATCATCATCGTTGGTGGTAGGATGATTGCAAGGTGGTGGTGGGGAGTCAACAATATAAATGAATGAAATAGAATGTAAATGAAGGACTGTATGGGACACAATGTACATGCATGAAGCACAATGTATATGAACAATAAAAAATAGTAATTTAAAAAATTCCAAAAAGCAAGCAAACACTCCCAGAATAAACTTTGTTAAAATTCTGGAAAGAGCCAAAGATTAATCATAAACAAGCAAAAGCTAGATCAAGAAATAGTTATCTTTAAAATTGTAGGAAAGGTTTGTGCTTTTTTACATTCCCTACTCTCTCACCCACCTAGGGACTGACTTGAGGAAAGAGGCCTGAATTCCCAGGATGGACAAATCTTATTTCATTTCCCTGTGTTTCCATGTTCTATCATTGTTTCACTTCAGGATTCACACCCAGGAAAGTGACTCACTTAGCTGAAACATTGTCATGGCTGCATTTATGTTCATTATTTCTGTCCATAAAAATGGGTATTAAGGTGGGTTTTCTTCTCGGTTTCCACCTACCGCTCCATTTAAGCCTAAACTTGAATTTATTTCCTGCCGGCCTAGCAACACTTTCACCATGGCCCTCAGCGATGCAGACGTACAAAAACAGATTAAGCACATGATGGCTTTCATTGAACAAGAAGCCAATGAGAAGGCAGAAGAAATAGATGCAAAGGCAGAGGAAGAATTCAACATTGAGAAAGGCCGTCTTGTGCAAACCCAAAGACTGAAGATTATGTAATATTATGAGAAGAAAGAAAAGCAGATTGAGCAGCAGAAGAAAATTCAAATGTCTAATTTGATGAATCAAGCAAGACTGAAAGTCCTCAGAGCAAGAGATGACCTTATCACAGACCTACTAAATGAAGCAAAACAGAGACTCAGCAAGGTGGTAAAAGATACAACCAGATACCAAGTGCTGCTGGATGGACTGGTCCTCCAGGGTTTGTACCAGTTGCTGGAGCCCCGAATGATTGTTCGTTGCAGGAAACAGGATTTCCCTCTAGTAAAGGCTGCTGTGCAAAAAGCAATCCCTATGTACAAAATTGCCACCAAAAAAGATGTTGATGTTCAAATTGATCAGGAGACCTACTTGTCTGAGGACATAGCTGGTGGTGTTGAGATCTATAATGGAGATCGTAAAATAAAGGTTTCCAACACCCTTGAAAGCCGGCTGGATCTCATAGCTCAGCAGATGATGCCAGAAGTACGGGGAGCTTTGTTTGGTGCTAATGCCAACAGGAAGTCTTTGGACTAAGCATCTTGGAGGTGGAGTTCCTTCCAGTCTTCCCTTTCCACAATACGGAAGTTTCTGATATTTAAAGAAACAAGATTACCTATGTAACCTCCTCTTTGCTGTTCTAATAGTGTCTGTATCCATCAGCGGAATACCCTTCTGTAGCTAATGCCCTTGGCCTAACTACTATCAGTAGCAGCACGTTTCACTTAAAATGATTAGGATGAAACCGCTAGTTCATCTAAAAGCAGCGCAGCTTTCCGTTGGCTCTGCAGCATGCAGATGACGGGCCCAAACGGTGAGGCTTGAACATGACTGGGCTCTCCTCTTTTGCCACTTACCTGGAGGATGACATCTGTGGTGGTCTTGCTGTCAGCTCTCTGCACTTTAGGTCTAAAACGCATGTAGGGCATGCCTTCCTTCCGGCTGTAGTAGCTTTACTGTTCTCTAGTGGGCCCAGCAGGTTTCCTCATCTGCAAATTGTGATTTAAAAGTCTAAACCATGAATATGCATTATTTATTAAAAGAGAGATTTGTGTGGGAAAAAAATGGGTATTAAGATGATACAAACATCATAGGGATATTGTGGGGTTTAAGCAGGATAACCCATAGACTTAGTACATTACCTACATATATTTTGGGGTACATACCAACAAGCAAAGCATTGCCTATTCCTGCACCGTTTTCACAGCTGCAATTCTCACAGTTGCAATGTTTGAGCCATTGTTGCACACATTGCATCAATTCATCTCCATCCATCTCTCTTTTTAGCTGAAATTCTATTTCATTAAGTATAATGTCCTTTTCCAGCAACTGATTCAAATTCATGGGGGGGAAAAACATCACCACATTCACTTCTGAGGAGCATTCTGGATGCACTTCTTCCAAGGTCGTTTTGCTTATTCTGTTGGCAGCCCACGGTATAGTCAACATTCTTCAGCAATACCATAATTAAACGTTTTTCTGATATATTTTATTCATTGTTTGCATTTCACATGCATATGAGACAACTGAAAATGCCATTGCTTGGCTCACGTACACCTTAGGATTACAGCGCAGCTTCTTGCCGCTAGGCCACCGGAGCTCCCTAGGATCATGTACAACTTAGTTGAAGTGATACCTTTGCACTTTACAGAGGTCCTTGGTAACAGATTTGCCCAAAAAAACACATAATTTCTTGATTGCTGCTTCCATAAATGTTGATTGTGGTTTCAGGTAAAACTAAATCTTGACAACTTCAATCTTTACTCCATTTATTATGGTGGTGTTTATCAGTCTAGCTGTGAAGATTTTTGTTTTATATTGACGTGCAATTCATACTGGAGGCTATAGCCTTTGATCTTCAACATTATTAAGTACTTCAAATCTTCGTTTCAATAAGCAAAGTTCTGTCATTTGCCTATTGAAGGAGATTACTGAGTCTTCCTCTAATTCTGATTCCAATGTCTTCATTTTTTTTCATGAAAGTAGTCATCAAAAACTCAATCCATGAATTACATTGGGTAAATCCAAAAATACATTTTTAGAGTGTTTAAACACAAAGATGTCATTTTTGAGGACTAAGGCATACCTGACACAACCGATGGTAGTTTCACTTGTCTCCTATCAATGTGAAAAATGAACCATGAGCAAGACAGACTGAAGGAATGACGCATCTACATTATGGTGCTAGTGTAGAGTACTGAATATAACTTGGGCTTCCGGAAGATGTTACATGAAATATTTCTATGTCATAGAAATATAATCAGAATGCTCCTTGGAGGTAAGGCTGGGGAGACATTGGCTCACAAACTTTGAATGCATCATCCAAAGGGACAAGTCCTTCAAAAAAAGACATCATTCTTAGTAAAGATCAGTGAAAAAAAGAGGAAGACCCACAGTGGGATGGATTAACACATGATAGTAACAATCGGTTCAAATATAGCAACTATTCTGAGGATGATGCAGGATTGGACTGTGGTCCACTGTTGTGCTCAGGTGTGCTACAAGCTGGAACCAACTTAATGGCAGCAAAAACAATGAATCATGAGAGAGAACCCTATCTCAGCAGGTTGTTGTTGTTGCTGTTGTTATGTGCCATTGAGTCGCTTGCGACTCATAGCGACCCTATGTACAACAGCCCTAAACCCTGCTCTATCCTATGCCAATCGCACTGCCTCTGACACTCCCATCCCGATTACCCCAGTCACTGAATCAATCCACCTCATAGAGGGTCTTCCCCTCTTGCACCGTCCCTCCACCATCCCAAGCATAATGTCCCTCTCTGAGGACCTGTCCCTGCTTACAACATGTCCAACGTATGTTAGACGGAGCCTCAGAATCCTTGCCTCCAAGGAGCAGCCTGGTTTAACCCTCTCCAGGATGAATCTGTTTGTTTTCTTGGCAGTCCATAGTACACTCAATACTCTTCTCCAGCACCACAGCTCAAAGGCATCAATTCTCCTTCCATCTTCCTTAGTCATTGTCCAACTCTCTGATGTATAACAAGTGATTGCAAAGACCATAGCCTGTATCGGACACACCTTAATCTCCAGAGTGACACCATTGCTCTTGAGTACTTTAGAGAGGTCCCTAACAGCAGACTTTCCCATCGCAATATGTTTTTTAATTTCCTGGCTACTGTGTTGACCGTGGAAACAAGCAGTCTAAAGTTGTTAACAATCTCAATCTCTTCACCATCCATCCTGTGCTGCCAATTGGCCCACTGGTGAGAATCTGTCTTCTTGATATTAAGCCTCAGTGCATACTGAAGGCTGCAGTCCCTGCAGCAAGCGTTTCAGGTAGATTTTTTTTTAAAAAGTCAGAGTCTAGGGAAGAGGGGAATGGGAAGTTAGTTAAAAAGCACAGTGATTCTGTTTTGAGTGATGAAAAAATTTTACAAATAAGGTTATAGTGATATCCGCCTAACATTGTAAATAGAGTTAATGCTACTGAGTTTAACATTTGTATGTGTTAAAATGGCAAACTCTGTTACGTACATTTTATTAAAATAAGATTTTTTTTTAAAGGAATTAAGATTCTAAAAGGTCTTTCTGGACTCTTGCTACATATTCCACTCATTTTCTTTTCTTTTTTTCTACTTTTATTTATAAATGAGTCATTGATTTACCAACTGGTTTTTTCCAATTTCATGTTGTTAAGATGCCTTCCAGACAGTTGCCATTCACAGTAATCCTATGTACAATTTAACAACGTGCTTCCAAATCCTGTGTTCATTCAGGATCTCTGCTCTGCCCAAGTCCATCTGCACATGCTGTGTCAATCCATCTTGGTGATAATATGTCCCCCTTCCACTTACTTCCACTTTTCCAGGCATGAGGTCCCTTTCCAAGGCCTGTCCCACCCTGATAATGTGTAAACAATACATTAGACAAAGTCTCACAATACTTGCTTCTGTGAAAGAGTCTGGCTACCTTTCTTCCAAGAGCTACTTGTTCTTTTGGCGGTCCATGGTACATTCACTGTACTTCACCAACGCCTCAATCCAAAATCTTCACTTCCACATGCATATGAAACAACTAATAATACTAGATGTTGAGGTGCCTATCTTAGTCTTTAAATTGGCATACTTGATCATTCACTCTTTGAAGATACCCTTGACAACAGATTTCTCCAATGCACTATGTCTTCTGATTTTTTCCATTTTATTTGAGATTGATCGAACATGCAATCAAGATGCATTGATAATAATGGGTGACTGGAATGCAAAAGTCGGGAACAAAGAAGAAGATTCAGTAGCTGGAAAACATGGACTCGGTGACAGAAATGGAGCGGGAGAGAGAATGATCGAATTTTGCACAATCAATGACCTATTCGTAGCAAATACATTTTTAAGA